CGGGACGTTAGTGGGGTTTGTAAGCTCCTCAGCCTTAAGCTCCTAAACTTCACTTCTAAATCCTTACGCCCTAAGCCCTACCCCTCAAAAGCACCCCTTAACCCTGACATCCTAAAGTAGATATGAAGTTCAGGGTTTAGGGTTTCGGGTTTCGGGTTTAGGGTTTGACGAACTTCGAGGCCCCTTCACCCCGACACCCTCCGGCAACTCGCTCCAGCCCAGGAGGCTTTCAACCACCACCCCTGCGACGAGCTCGAGAAATCTCGTGCGTTTCAGGACATCTGAGCCCTAAACCCTAAACCCTGAACCCTGAACTGAACCCTGAGCCCTAAACCCTAAACCCTAAACCCTAAACCCTAAACCCTAAACCCTAAACCCTAAACCCTAAACCCTAAACCCTAAACCCTAAACCCTAAACCCTAAACCCTAAACCCTAAACCCTAAACTAAGTGAGGGGTCGCTTCCGTCGAGCGACAGACCCCGAACGCTCGGCCGAGGGCCTTACAGCCCGAGCGCCCAAGCGAAAAGAGAAACGGAAAGGTGAGGGTTAAGCCTCACCGTCTGTCCTGGACAGGCCAACGGACATCGGCCTTTTTTACGACAACGTCAGTACTCGGCTAAGGGATGGCCGGCACCGAGACCACCTTTAGCGTAGCTAAAGTATAACCCCAAATGGTAACCCTTTGCCTCTAGAGGTCGGTTCAGGGTTTTGGGTTCAGGGTTTGCCGGCCCCCCCCCGGGCCCCCCTGGCCCCTGGTGGCTGGATTCCTGGACCAGGAGGCTGGCGAGGGGGTCCAGGCAGGCAGGCCAGGCCCCCGGCCAAGGGCCCCCCCGCAGCCAAGGGCCCCCCCCTCCAAGGGCTTCCCACACCAAGGCCCGGGCCAAGGGGCTGGGCCAAGGGGGCCAAGGGCCTTGCCGGGCCAAGAGCCTTGCCGAACCAAAGGCCTTGCCGGGCCAAGGGCCTCGGGCCGACCCAGGAATTCCACCACCTGCCAAAACACCCCTACTAAGGGCCTGTCCGTGCCCACAATGAAAAATGCGATTTTTGAATATTGAAAACATTGTTTTTAGGCACCCCTGCCCGCAATGAAAAATGTTCTTTTTTTAGTACTGAAATCGATGGCTCCCCCCAGGACCTCTACGGGCCCTGACGCGCCGAAGGCCCGAAAAGGACCGAGGCTACCCCGAACCCCAGCCTAAACCCTAACACCGCAAAACCCTACGACGGCCTTCAAGCAAATAAGGGCCTCTACGGGCCCTAACGTGCCGAAGGCCAGAAAAGGGCCGAGGCTACCCCGAACCCCAGCTTAAACCCTAACACCGCAAAACGCTGCGAAGGCCTTCCAGCAAATAAGGGCCTCTACGGGCCCTAACTTGCCGAAGGCCCGAAAAGGGCCGAGGCTACCCCGAACCCGAGCTTAAACCCTAGCGATTGAAATACTCATTGGCGAAAAACTCATTAATAGGTTCCCTGACCTTTAAATGAATAAAGCCTCTACGGCCCCTGACACGCCGAAGGTCCGAACAAGGCCCCGAGAGACCCCAAGAGCCACCAAAATGCTTCAAAAGGCTTCGAAAGGCCCCCTAACAGAAGGGGGACCCCAGGATGCCCGTACCCGCAATGAAAAATGCGATTTCTTGGTAGTGAAATCGATGCTTAATTGAGGCCCTTAAAGAAGGGGAATCCAGGAGCAGACACAAAGGGTTTCCCTGACCTTCAAATAAATAAGGGCCTCTACGGGCCCTGATACGCCGAAGGGCCGAAAAGGGCCGAGGCTACCCCCAACCCCAGCTTAAACCCTAACAGCGCAACTGTAAAAACATCAAAGCAAGCATCAGAGCACAAGAAATAAATTCCATAAACCCTAAACCCTAATAGAGTATAGTTTGGGTGGCCGGGGTGGGTTGACGGGCAACGCGAGCGGGCGGCCCGGGGTGTTTCACACCCGAGCGCGCGCCCTCCCCTGACACACCCTAAACCCTAAACCCTAAACCCTAAACCCTACACCCTACCTAAACCCTGAACCCTGAACCCTAAACGCTAAACGCTAAACCCTAAACCCTAAACCCTGAACCCTGAACCCTGAACCCTAAACCTTGACTCTGGCATCAGCCCTGGAAACGGGTGGGGTGGGAGTCCTTGGGCGCAGTTTCGAGAAGGCGTTTCGCTCTCTGATCGTGCTGCCTGCTCTCAGCCATCAGTGTGCAGCATGGTTCCTGTTCCGGCTTCGGCCGGTTTTCGTCAACTGTCCCAGGATCTCCGGTTGCATGTCCCATGCACATGATGGCAGGAGTTTCGGAGCCCAAACCCTAAACCCTAAACCCTAAACCCTAAACCCTAAACCCTAAACCCTAAACCCTCGAAGCCCTTGGGACTAGTTGTAGTTTCCCCTGGTGATCGAGCTTGGGCTGCAACTACTTTTGGGTTTAGGGTTTAGGGTTTAGGGTTTAGGGTTTAGGGTTTGGGGGGATGGTTGAGAGGCTCTAGGGCTCTGGAAGGGAGGGGGGGTTCATGGGGGGTAGGTACCTAAGAAAGCTTGGGGGCGCCTTATGGAGTAGAAGGGAGTATTGGGGAACCTTTTATAGGGTTTAGGGTTTAGGGTTTAGGGTTTAGGGCTTGGGGTTGAACCCCCCTCCCTCAAGAACCCTATGGAGAGGCTTGTCCAGGAACTGCCAAGGGGCTGTAGCCGGCTGTCTCCAGCCTCGAGCCTGTTTGGTTTAGGGTTTAGGTTTTAGGGTTTAGGGTTCAGGTTTCAGGGTTTGGGGTTCAGGGTTTGGGTTCTGGGTAAACCCTCGACCCATAACCCTAAACCGTGCACCCGTCGCGCAGGACTACGACCGGTCGCTGATACGGCAGCACTGCTTTGAAGACGGCTCGGTGGCCAAGACTGCCAAAGCCAAAAGCCAAAAACCCCAAACCCTCAGCCCTAAGCCCTAAACCCTGAACCCTAAACCCTAAACCCCTAAACCCTAAACCCTAAACCCTAAACCCTAAACCCTAAACCCTAAACCCTAAACCCTAAACCCTAAACCCTAAACTCTTTTCCGGCCTTTTAACCCTAAACCCGTTAGGGTTCAGGGAACCCTCAACCCTAAACCTTGTTCGGGTTTCGGGAACCCTCAACCCTAAATCCTGTTACGGTTTAGGGCTTAGGATTTAGGGTTTACGGTTTTCATAAACCCTAAGCCCTCACCCCCGAACCCTAGAAAGGCCCTCGGGTTGCGGGCGGGGAGGAGAGAGTCAAAAGGTTCATGAGAGCGCTTCGTGCTTTTTTTGTCCTACGTCGGGTTCTTGTGAACTTGCGAACGCTGCCAGTACAGACTTTTGAAGGGTTTAGGGTTTAGGGTTTAGGGTTTAGGGTCAAAAAGATAAGAGAATGGAGCTCCAGAACTCAAGACCATCAGATTGTGAACTTAAGGAAGCTTCTAGAATACTTTTACAAGCGGCTCGCGGAAAAAACCGTCTAACTGCAATTTCCTAAGCCTGTGATCTCCAGTCGACTCGCCTGACCTAGAGCAAAATGCCCGTGATAGTCATGCACAAGTTAATAAGGCGTTTAACGTGTTTTAGGGTTTAGGGTTCAGGGTTCAGGGTTTAGGGTTTAGGGTTCAGTGTGCGCACTATATTTACGCGGTTCTGCGCTCCTGATCTTGTGCACGGTGAATCTGCGTACTTCTTCGCTTCAGAGGCATTCGGAGACGGGTTTGGAAGATTTGGCAGCGAAGCTTGGCGAGGGTTCAGAGTTAGGGTGGAGGGCATAGGTTTAGGGTTTAGGGTTTAGGGTTTAGGGTTTAGGGTTTAGGGTTTAGGGTTTAGGGTTTAGGGTTTAGGGTTTAGGTTTGAGAGAGGAAAAGTATTCAGAATGATGAGACGAATGATCAAGAAGAAGACCAAAGCACGATGAGTGCGTGCAACGAAAGCAGCTTAGGCCGAACGCACCTACTCTTGCAGAGTTCAAGGCTTCGGTTTCTTCCCAATCAAGGCCAACTAAGAGTATAAGTGGGACAGAGGGAGCTAGCCCTGAGCATCCAGGGGCTTCCTCTGTTTACACCCGCGCACTCCAAATACTACTCTCAATGCTCTATGATATCCCTTGCTGGGTACCATGATACGTTCAAGCCCGGAAAAACAACCCCTGAATCCCAAAAGCCCTATATACACCCTGAACCCTAAACCCTAAACCCTATACCCTGAACCCTAAACCCTAAACAACAAACCCTAAACCCTAAACGCCTCCACCATCTGTGGGGGCCTCCGGAGGTATGTTCATGGTCCACTCCAAGGACTGGTGGGCCTCAAAACTCTAGACTCTGTAGACTCAAGCCTCAGGGCTTCGGATTGAGGGATTGGTGTTGGGGCGTTTTGGGTTTAGGGTTCAGGGTTGAGGGTTTAGGGTTTAGGGTTTAGGGTTTAGGGTTCAGGGGTTAGTTTTGGCTTGGAGGGCTCTGAGGGCCATGACCCAACCAAGGCTTAGCGGGCTTCGGGCTGAGGGTCCCAGCCCCAAACCCTAGTTCCCAAGCGATGAACACGAATCCTTGACCCCCTAAACCCCGAACCCTAAACCCTAAACAACCTAAACCCTAAACCCGAAACCGTGCTAGGGTTTAGGGTTTAGGGGGGCCAGAAGTCCGAGCCCTTGCGCGCTACATTGTTTCGGACGCGGGGTCTCCTGTATCCCGTGACTCCTTACGCCCGGAAGCTCCTGTGCTTGAAGTCTCATGGAAGGGTTTAGGATGTAGGGTTTCGGGTCTGGGGTTTAGCTAAACCCTAAACCCTAAACCCTAAACCCTAAACCCTAAACCCTAAACCCTAAACCCTAAACCCTAAACCCTAAACCCTAAACCCTAAACCCTAAACCCTAAACCCTAAACCCTAAACCCTAAACCCTAAACCCTAAACCCTAAAGGGTTTAGGGCAGCGTCGGGAGGACGTCAAGTACGCCAAGGAGTCTGCAAGGAGAGTGCGCGACCTCGCAGAGACGCGAGAGGAAGAGCTGTAG